CAGAGTGTATGAGAACAGGTGGAGTGTATGAGAACAGACAGAGTGTATGAGAACTGGTGGAGTGTAAGAGAACAGAGAGAGTGTATGAGAACAGGTGGAGTGTATGAGAACAAACAGTGTATGAGAACAGGTGGAGTGTATGAGAACAAACAGAGTGTATGAGAAAAGGCACATTGTATGAGAACATACAGTGTGTATGAGAAAAGCGTGTATGAGAACAGAGTGTATGAGAACTGAGAAGAAAGTTCTTTTCAGTATAAACGCCTTCATTTGAAGCAGTCCTCGGTTGATTTCCTCCTTTAAGGAAACGTGCTGCTGCTCCGAGTCTCATATCGCCAACATATGTTCTTGTGACAGTTTTTTTATTCCCCTTTCAGCAAGTCAACGCTCTTCAAGCTCGCACTTCCTCCCACTGCAGACTGTAGGTGTTCAAAACAGCAGGGGGGATGTTCAGGGAAATATGTCTCAAGCACACCAGCCCAACTAATCACCATGGTAACTGAGGGTGAAAGTGATATGAAGGTGACGTGTCTTAATGTTGAGAACTGCGGATTAGCCAGCCCACTTGTTTTATAGGAACTGACACCAGGCTGTGACTTTTCTCCTGCTTCTTTACAGAGAACAAGAGCTTTAGATAATTTATAGAAAATGAACCGCAACCTCCAACATTTGCTGAAACCAGCTGTGAGTAGAGAACTCCCTGGGGACATCTCTTCACACGTGGACACTTTTTTTTTTTGGTTTGTTAGGATGATGAAAAAAGTGAATCGTATAAGACATGCTGGGCTGAGTAGCAGGTCTGGACTGACACTAACTTCTGCTGTTTCTGTGTGCGCTTGGAGAAGTTTATCATTAAGAAATGTCATTTAATTTGAGTAATTTAATCATAAAACTCCTCTTTCAGCCTCTTACATTTTCACATTTATCCAAAATACCACCGCTGTCTTACAACACAGTAATCAGGTCCTAGAACCACAGGGGACCGAGCTACAAGAGAACCTGATTATTTTGTAAAGGGGCTTCACGAAACAAAACACAGCTACAATAACCAAATCACACTGTCTGACAGAATAATGTTAAGCACCCTCTGGGTTGGAAACAAACCTGAACGTGTTGAAAAATCATGTAATTGTCTTCATCATGTTTCCAATATGAGATCAAGTGGAGAACAGGCGCATAGCTTGTCTCATGTGTCTGTGTCTGCTCATCTTCACTCACCAATCTGTCAGGCTGTCGGATGTTCCAGCAGCTACCTGATAACACTATTGCTCTACTTGTGATGCCACCACTTATGCCCTCCTGTGCCTGTTTCAGACATTTTAGCTGATCAATTACCTGCTGATCACTGGTCTGCATGTGGATCATGTTCAAATCAGATCAAGTGTGTGACTTTGTTTTTGTCAGTGAGTGTAATTAAGTCAGAAAGTTAATTGCAATTTGATGTACAGTAATGATTTTGTCTTTGCAGATCTGCCTCGGACTCCAGAAAAAAGAGAAGATACAGGTATGTATCCCATAAAGCACCTTGTCACCTAGTCAGCGCGTACATCGACACATATTTTGACCAAGTTTTCCTTTGTCGCCGATGCGCCAGCATTGTTTCTGCCTGTTGATTCCCATCTGGTGAAACAACAACGTCAGCGAATGTCTGATTGATTGCCCCTGATTTTAATCTGCACAGCTTCATGATCTTATATCTGATTGTTGTTTCAGATCAGGCAGCCCAAAGAACAAACACAAAGACAAGAACAAACAGAAAAAGAGGTGAGATATAGGACGAATCCATTCTTCAAAAAAAATTACAAACCTTACCCACAGCCGAAATACTGAAGTATTGGCAACAGAGATTCAAGATGCGGGAAAAGCTTTCTGTGGTGTTTGGAGTGCAGGATATTCATTAATAAATAAGATGATTTTAGCATTAAATTATTTCTCACATATTAGAATCATCACGTGGTTGCACTTGTCTGAGTCAAACTACTGCAGAATCTAAAGAAAACCACAGTGTAGTTTTTTTTAATTACTATTCAAATACACAGATTTTATGTACTCGTACAGTGTCATGCACAATACATTATGTTAGTACACAATTTGTCTTCTGTGCCTATTAAATGAAACTGAAGCACAGTCTCAGTTAACAACAGGAACAGTTGGAGTCACGCTGCGTTCCTCATACATTTATATTGTTATTTAGCGTTCATCCTCCACGGCTCAGAATGTGAGGGAAGAGAAAGTCTTTCCTGTGAGTTCAGGTTACATTTGGTGCCTGTCAAAGAAAAATGAACGTGTTTGTGCTTGAGACGTTTTATTCTTCACAAGATGGACTACTGAGCTCACTGTGTCACGTGTGTCCCCATGATATTTTCATGCGTGTGTGCGTGCGTGTGTGCGTGTGTGCTTTGTCCATCTGCTGTCATCCTTCAGAACCCCCGGTGAGACCCCCAGCAGGAGTTCACAGCGTCAAGGCAGCTGCTGCAGCTCCCGAAGTGCCTCCCTGTCCTCCACTCGGAGCACCTCCAGATCTCCCAACAGGTAGACTGTGACACACACACACACACACACACACACACACACACACCGGCTCGTTTAGTCACACACTGAAATCACTCTAATGACAGAACGGTTGCTCCGGCGACTGTCAGTCTCTGTCTCATTTACTCTCGGCCCTCAGGGGGGATGGATTAGGATACAAACGGGCGTGTCTTGTAATGACGTCCTGTGATATCTCAGTCTGAACGCCGGCTGGATGCAATATACTGTCAGTCACAATTAGTCAACTTGTAACAAATGTTTTATTCTTCTCTTGGGGGCCGAGATGGTGTAGAGGCAGGGCAGCCGGCTTGGGACCCAAAAGTCCCAGGTTCGATCCCCAGTCACTGCACATCACGTGGCGTCTCTGGGCAGCACGCCTCATCCCCAAAATGCCTCCCGGGCGCTTTCAATAGCTGCCCACTGCACCACCTGGTGGTGGATGGGTTAAATGCAGAGACTAATTTCGTTGTATGGAAACATACAGTGATGTCATTATTATTATTTAACCTTATAAATGTCTCCATCGCTTCCCTTTATTCAAATCTGAAACCACTTTGTTCTGGACAAGCTTGTTCTGTCTTGACAGCTTTTATGGGATTATATTTTTCTTTTATTCGGACATAAAAACGCCTAGTTAAACGTTGTTTAAAGACATTTTCTGGTGATTTTTCTGAAGTGGTTTTCTGTCAAACAGTTATTGTCTCCCATCGCGGAGTGAAAAGGGGAATTGAAAATGGCCTCTGTCCATCCGTCAGTCAATCCTGTGAGCTGGATAACTTGAATATTAAGTGAGGCACAAACTTACGTTGTGGTGTGTGGATCATAAACAATGTGCTTGTTCGGCTGCCTTCAGGTCCAGGCCTCCCTTTCAAAAGACATTTGTGATCTCAATGGAATTAACATAGTTTATAAAAAGGTAAATAAATAAATAGGAAAGGTCACTATTGAACACTGGGTTGCCACATCAAAATCCAAGATGGCCACTGCCATATGTAAACCAGCCACCTGGACCATTTGAGGAAACTATGCGTTCTAGAGTTTATATTGCTTAAAAGTAGAGCTTCCTCAAATGACTGGGGTGGCGGCTAAAGATTATTCTGTGGTGGTCAAGGCCACCATCGACCACCCCCTAGAAAATTACAATTAGACACCCCCTTATGTTAAACACACAACAGCCACTTACGACTTCGTGAGCTGCATTTCCACGTCTACTCTTAAAAAAATCTCAGCCTCTAAAAGAGTGGTGGGAGTGAGTGCCGAGCTAACCAGGCAGTCGTACACAGTCAGGATCCCACAGGCAGCCACAGACAGGTGCCTGGAGGTTTCACATGTGGAGTCGGACAACAACGAGCAGGGACTGTGTCGGGCTTGAACCATCAGGGGAGGGGAGGGGGGGATGATGCTTGACAGAAGTGGAGTGTTTACAGTTGTAAGTAAATGTAGATGTTTAACAAGCTGTTAAAATACACCAAAATGCATGAAATCACATCTCCTTTATTCAAAATTTTATGGGGGAGGACACCCAGACCCCCCCCCCATCCCCACCCTGCCCCCTGCCGGCCCGCCCACTATCTGTTTTCTGGTATGATCAGTTTACAAATTAAGCTCTGCTCATACGATACTAACTATTGATGATTTCTTTTCATAACATCGCTTCAAAAATCACCAGATTATTTCAAGTTAATAAGAAAGAACTTTAAAATGAATTGTGCTCACAAACATGCAGAGCCTTTCAACAATATTTTCATTATTTACACTTTTAAATATGGCAAAACAGAAACAAAGCTACCTGGAGCAGAAAGACTCCTACGTCCGTACGCTCTTTGTGGACTTCACATCTGTCTTCAACACCATGATCCCTCAAACCCTGATGGACAAACTACTCACACTAGGACTAAGCCCCTCCATTTGCAACTGGGTCCTAGACTTCTTAACAAACAGACCACAGTCTGCGAGGATCCATAACTTCTCCTCCTCCACCATAATCCTCAGCACTGGCTCTCCTCAGGGAGATGTGCTGAGCCCCCTCCTGTTTACTCTGCTCACGTATGATTGTGCAGCTACCCATCCAGGCTGTCCCATTGTAAAGTTTGCAGATGATACAGCGGTGGTGGGATGCATCACAAACAATGATGAGTCCAGCTACAGGCAAGAGGTGGAACACCTGGAGAGCTGGTGCAAAGAGAAT